ATATATATATATATATATTCGAACCAGCTCGCGAGCCTCACGAGCTGAACTCTAGTAGGCTCAAGCTCGAGAAGCTCGTGAAAAGCTCGACTCGTTGCCACCCCTTGTTGGAGGGGACTTGATGATGGGTCCGATCAAGGTCGACTTAACGACCCAACTAAGCTTGTCCAGTCTTTCTTCATGCAGGCAGGCTAAGTGGGACACCGCATTTGCAATGACTGGTTGTAGGGTCTTTATTTCATATCTAATCTCATCCCTCAATCCCTCTAAGAAGGCCCCCACCAACACTGATTCAGGCCACCCATATACCCGAGAAGCTATCCTCTAATTCATTTTGATATTCCCTCATCGTTCCCATTTGTTTTAGTCTTGACAGAGCCTCATCAAAGTTCTTGAATCCCAATGATCCGAAATGGTAACAGATAGCCTTTGTAAATTCCAACCACCCAATCTAGGGGTTGGAATGCCAGTACCACTGTAGCCATTGGATGGCCTCCCCTTCCAAATGGATCGAAGCCATCGACACACACTGGTGGTGCCTAGGGATTTCATTTATCTCAAAGAATCTCTCTACTCTAAATATCCAGGAAATAAGGTCCTCACCTAAAAACGTGTGGGAAATACCAACTTGGCCATCCTCCCTAGTCTAGCTCCTATGTGCGAGTGGCCAAAGTGGCTGGAACCTTCACTATCCCCTTCACGCTAGTTGGAGTGAGTCGACTTTTGATACTAGCTGGCCACCACCGAGATGAAATCCTTCAATTCCTTCAACTCATCGAACACCTTGTGAAGTTCTTCCTCGATCTTGTTAATGCGACCTTTCATAGCTGACGATCTCATGTTCGTCATCTTGCTGTCGCTGGCAATGGCTCTAGTACCACTTTGATGGGATACTACCCACCGCAAAGGTCTCTTCGAGGGAGACCTAACCTCCTAAGAATAGAAGAATGAGAGAAGAAGAGAAATGAGATAAGCCAGGTCTCCCTATTCCTTTATTCTCAAATATTTATAGAGTTTACAAGGATATCACAAGACATGTGCATGGTACTGTTCATGGCTGACATGTCTTCCTTGCGTACAGGAAGCGAATGGGAGGGCATTTGGCCTCCTTCATTGGGCTGTGCTGCTCTTGGGCTTCAAACAGCAGAGTGGGCTGAGCCTTGGGCTGGCTAGTAGTCTGGTCCTGAGATGTCACATGGACCGAGGGCTCAACAGGTTCACCGGTTTGACTGTCCACGTGGACGTCTTTTACTAAATTCTACATTCTTTTTAAATCTCTGGGTTTGGAGGAAAATGGATATGGTAACCAGTCTGGCAGACCAGGTGAACATGTTGTAATCACTGTCCTTAACTGAACAATTTGCCCTCCAGTTCTATGTCAACATCTTAATTGGTGGGCCATCCATGTATTATCTTAATTGGTGTTTCACTGTAGCAAAGAGCTGAAATGGTCCACACAGCAGGAAAACTCCATAATTGACTATAAGAGTGATACCCGACTAAGAATTTATGGGTCAAGTTTTAGGAAATGCTCAGCCTGAGCTGGCCCAAGTTGCAGCCCTAGTTTACTTCTACCCCATTCATACCATCCCACTCATTTTTTAAGTTATGATGTATTACATGTCCTCACTATAGACTCTGCTCCAAGCAAGACTTATTTCAACTTAAGAGTTGTTAAAGGTACTCATATATGAAGCTGAAAAAACTCAACTTGACTCAACCGTGTCCCAATTTTATGTGATGGATTGTTCATCTTCAATGTTGACTTATAACCCAATCTATAATTTTAATGCATGAGATCAATTTTTATTTTTAAGAAATGCTAGCAGCAGGTAGCCAAGCCGCCTGGTTAGCTATAATTATTTTTTAATTTTCCTAGAGTACGTTTGTGTACCAAAAAATATTGGTCACTACATGTGGTTGAATATTTTATGCTATTAATTCATCAGCTAGTATGTTTTATTTTGACAATCCTTACTGGACTTGATGTAAAGCATGGAATTTTATATAAGCTTTCTTCCTTAGCATGTTTTCAGTATTACCCCACTTGAAATTTTTATTTAATATCTGTTTTCACCTTTTTATTTCCACAGTTTCTTAACCCCTAACCTCACTCTAGGTTGTGGGAGGAACCTTAAAATTTTATTCGTAGAAATAAAAGCAAATGTACATCTTTTTAGCTTTTTTTCCTGGTGGTAGTGGGGACAAAGCCATTTATTTTGGTTCCTAACCTCTAAGGCTCCGTTTTCCTTTTCCTAATTCATTTTATTTATATGGAATATTTTATTTGTTTCTCTTTGAGAATATTTATTATCATCTATTTACACTTATTTATTTAGTCACTTTCATTTTAATATTTTCATAACTTATATCTATAATTAGACCCCGATGCTAAATTATTTTCTTTTTTATTTCAGGCTTTATTATGAATCTTATAAACTATGATATTTCATAAATGTTATTTAGTATATGAAAGAGAAAATAAGTTTACCTTGGCAGCATGGAATACATAGATTTGAAAATCAGGACCATTAAAACCACAATGCATCAAAAGCAGTTGCAAGATACAAATGCAACATTTTAACTTTGTGATCTTGCAGTATCAACTCAATACATATTTGTGACTTTCTAGTACACTCGTGAAATTGCATCTATAGGTAGGTTACTTGAAAACCTTTTTTCATTTCATTAATCACAAAGATACTGCAAATTCCACATCAAGTATAGATTATCTTATTTGTCTTTTGCTTAATATTTATTAATTGCTTTCTAGATATTAGCAGAATAGGGCCATTGGTATAACAATTTTTTTTTACTTTGTTTCAGATTTCTGTTCATTTGTCTCCTGAAGTTTTAAGCTTTATTGATCATACCAGATTATAGGAAATGAGGTTAAACAATAAGAAGTTTATGAACCAATTAGATTAGATTTCATTAGTTCATTATGCAATTATTCTTAGATTTCTTGTATATAATATTTGGAATTATGAGAGTAAACATTGATAATGGATTCCAATTGCTTATCTCTCCACATACTCAAGTGTTGGCAAAAGTGATTTGCTGGTCAATACTAAAGATGTAGAATGAAGTTATCCATCATGCATGTCTTTTTTTTTTTTTTTTTTTGTGGGGGGGGGCCTGCTGGATAACAAGAATAACATTTTCTGTGAAGAAAAAAGACAAACCTGTGCCTAAAATTGGGTCCAGAAGCAATACATGCCTCTCTGAGATGTCTTTTGGCAGTTTTTCATAGATCAGCTGAACAGTGGTCAAAATACCAGAAAGTCTGTCAGATAATAGGAAAATAATATCCCTTTTCTATTGATGAAAAAAAGAATTTCTTTTAATCTACTATCATACGGGAAAAAAATTAAGAACAAAAACACTCCATGAGTAACAAATGAACCTGTTGACCATTATCACCTTCCCGGTGAATAAGAATCTTCCCAATCTTGATACCTTTACAACAAGCTCTCAAAGCATTTTCCATACTTTCACCACTGGCATCAGTCAAAGAGTGATTGTTAGTCAATTATTTCACTTGGGAATTAATCACTAGTCAATCACAAGATCTTGAACAAACATATACAAGATATTTGTGCTTATCATTATCGGAAAATAAAGATAACAAAACACAAATCACTATCACTGCCATAGGCAAAATAGAATAGTTGATGGAAACAAAAAAATAGGAAAAAAGAAACTTTTTTCTTCTCAATGAAACAAATCCCCCCCCCATCCCCCGCACACTCATTATTTCACTTGGGAATTAACCACTAGCCAATCACAAGATCTTGAACAAACATATACAAGATATTTGTGCTTATCATTATGGGAGCATAAAGATAACAAAACACAAAGACTGCCATAGGCAAAGTATAATAGTTGATGGAAACAAAAAAAAAAAAATAAAGAAAAAAGAAACTTTTTCTTCTCAATGAAACAAATCCCCACCCCCCACCCCCGCACACTCATTATGTACAGTAATTAACAGGCAACTGATGTGTAAGTTTGAAATACATTTAGCAGAAATACTGCTCTATTTTTTTCCTGGGACATTTTGGTTGCCCTTCAAAGCAATTTTTCTTTTTGATGGACAAGACAAACTTTTCTGTTAAAGAATATGGTTACAACTTACATGTGAGAGAAGGCAGTTACAAACACTTCGCATAACTAGATAATTAATTCTCTTGTTTTCTGTAAAACAAGCAAACTTTCTAATGCACATTAGAGAATACATCAAAATCAAGGGGTGTTGAAGTAAAACCTAGCTAACTGGGTACACCAAAAGAACAATAAAACCAGAAAAATAGAAATCAAACTCTTGTTATTACAGCATCAACCCCAAAACCCAAAGTGGACCAAAGTTTGAACCGGATGAAGATCTATGAACATTAAGAAATTTTAGATGGAGGCACTAGAGTACAATCCAGAATCATATTCACCAGCACACAACCTTTCTTGACCATTTTGCTTCCCATTAAGGCCATTAAGTTTGAGCTTTTTGACATTCTTTTAGTATTTAGTATTGTAAATATGATCAAGGATGGGCCTTGGCACAATGGTTGGTTGCTCCATTGTGACCTGGGTGACCAGGGTTCAAATCTTGGAACCAGCTTCTCTGTATGTGCAGGGGTAAGGCTGTGTACATACATCTGTCCCTACCCAGATCCCACATTGGCGGGAGCCTTGTGCATTGGGCTGCCCTTTATTGTAAATATGATCCCTTCTATTTTAGATTAAACAAAAGCCAGAAGGAAAACAAAACTCCCTAGGAAAATGTGTATCACAGAACAAAGCATTCTTGTAAACTCTAGTAGCTAAAGAATCAATTGTTCTGAAAGAAGCCAATTCCTGGATTTCTTCAACAATTTCTGTTTCTTCCTAAATCAGAGCTATGAGCCTGTTGCTACTTCACTCTTTCAAGAAGAGTTAACACTTCACCCATGAAAATACAAAATCCAAGGAAAACATGAGAACATAATCGTGACTTTCCATTAACATTTTACCTATTGTTACTTGATAATGGTATCAGCTATTCATTTATGTCAAACAAGCAAGTAGGAAAAGGAAAATGTTAAGTGTCCATCAAGAATCCATAGTGTCAGAATCCAACACATGTCTGCAAGGACATTTCATTCACTTCGGAGAGACCATGCAACACTGTTTGATACCTTGTCTACTAATATTCTAGTATCTGGGGGTAACATTAACTTTTGAACAATGTCCCAGGATGGCAAGCAAGGAACACTTCCAAAGCATCCATTCTTCAAAATTAAGTTTGGGCTAATGCAATTTGCCAAGTATATCAATATTGTAATGCGATCCAGCAGAAAAAACTTTAGCTTGTCCAGTATCGCATATGCTTCCTAAAAGCTTCCCAACCTTTTTTTCTTCCTTTTCTAGGAATCATTGTATCCATTTTCATGATTCACTTCTACTATGAGCAAGCACTTGTTACAATGAACCCTTCCATAAACAAAATTCTGTGCAGACATGCAAAATCTACAAGTCATCACTTTCTTTTTAACTATGCAATAGGAAAAATTCTCACCGACTGAAGGAACCAGAAACAGTGAGTTGGAAGTACAACGAATCTATGAAAAAGTTCAAATGGCTAGTTAGAAGCATGACAGTTCGTGTGAAATAGGAAAGGTGATCTGCAAATGGAATGGCTGATTATTTTGCGAAGATGGGGATGTTCAAGTCTGAACTGTTCTTGGCTCAGTTGTAATTTGGGTCATTGTAGAATGGGGTCGCACCTCGCGTTCCTATTAAGATAGTTTGTCTTCTCAATCTTGATGTAATCCCTCCTTATTAATAAAATGCTATCATTTATCAAAAAAATAAAAATAAAAAAACGAGACAAATATCAACTAGCTCTTCATGTCAAGGATAAATAGCATGCAAATAACATCTTTTCTGGAGCATTTAGACTACGTACGAGGAATATGACAAGTTTAGGAAAAAAATTATATTCAGAACTTAATATCAGCCCTATTGCAATCCATTTTATGATTGAGACAATTCTAATGTTAATATATAGCATCTCTCATCAGAAAGAGGTATAAGTATATGGTATTGTGTTGGCTCTCAAATTTTCTTTTCTCTCATCTAGGTTCCTTCTTTTTCTTCTTCTCTCGCCTTAGTCATGATGAGAGTCTTTTCAGATAGAGGAATGCATAATTAACAAGTACAAAGACAATACCTGAAAAAATCATTAGCATATTCAGTTTCTAAAACTGAATAGACAGAATGCAAGTGGAATAAATACTGAAAATGTACCTTCTAATCACAGAGACACCGCATAACCTTTTACAGAAGTCCACCCCAGTATATACTGATCCTGGATTTTAACAAAAAAGATACAGTTGCAAAATGAGAAAAAAATAAATCTCCTGGTGATACTAGTCACAAAACAACATCCAATGAAAGCTACCAAGTTGCAGTAAATGACAGGGATGACTTGCCCTTAAACCTATCAACATTGTAAAGAGAAATCTAGTGCACTTCCAGGAGTCTAGTTAATTAAATTTGGGAATCAATAAGCCTGTTATATCTTTCATCTAAACACAAGATTAGAATGTTGGAATTTAGTTCATTAAGCTAAATGCCTTTTCTTTATTTTCTTTAGACCAGTAATGGGGAAGAACATACAAATAACAAGAGGAAAAGGGGAAATGCAAGGATCAAACATGAAAAAGCAGGAAAAAATAATCAATAAAGAGTTGGGTCAAGAAGTCTCATAAACATGCATAGTATCCCTGACCAGCTCTTGGACAAACAATAGAACCAAGAGAACAAGATGCCCATATTGAATGAGAATAGTCACAAGAAACTAGAGTGGAAGTGTTTATGAATTACTAATTATGCCTTTCTAAAGAGTCCATATACAGTCCAGTTACAACTCTTGCATATTGTTTTTGTTAATATGGTTTGAGTTATGATAAGTATATCAAACTTGCAATTTAGTTCAGACATTTTTCTACAATATAATCGTTGTTACCAAAAATACATTAAACAAGTTGATGGCCATCAACAAAATGAAACCAGATGTAGACATACTTGTCAAGATGACGCCTAGGCAGGCTTCTAGGCAACACTAGGCAATAAGGCCTCATGGAGGACTACCTCGCTTTATCACCAAGATATTTTAACTTTTTAGATTATAATAATAAAATAGAAATTATTAAACTAAATTATTCAGTTTAAGTTAAAAATACTAGTCTCTTTTTATTACTTCTCATTTGTTAGGGTTCAATCAACATGTATACTGCCTTGAACCCTCAAAAGCTTCAAAACTTGAACTGATAAGAATGGAAGAACCAAAACAAAATCAATATAATTCCATAAAGTAATAGTATGTTACCTGTTGGGGTGATCACCTGTTTTTCTGTAAATGGAAGATGCCCGAGGCCATGTTCAACAACCTTTTTATGATGCAGGAACATGGTCAGTAAACATACCCTAAAAGACAAATCTTAGCATTGCAGAACTATAAAAAGAGGTTAGATGGAGTAAAATTACAGAAATGTCTACTTACCAAGCGAATTAATCGATCAGAATAAAAAACAAAGTCATGTTTTGTTGTTTTAGCATCACGTATAAGTGTATGCATACCACGTATCTGTAGGAATTAGAAAGAAATTATTGAATTTTATCTTAATCTGAAACTTCAAATACAATGAAAAAACCTTTTTTCTTGGCTACAAAGAAAGAACTCATACAACTACACAAACTAGATAAGTAAACAGAAATAGCAGCATACCTGAAAAGTTGAATGAATGACATAAAGGTTTGGATATATTTTACAGAGATCATGTTGACCAAGTTTTGTACGAATATGTTGGACAATCAAATCAATTGCTACATGATTATCTCCTCCACGGGGAATGATAATATCTGCATACTTCTTTGTTGGAAGTATGAAGTCATCAAAAGCAGGCTTCACAAATTTTGAGTACTGCATCATAAATTATAGATTAAATGAGTGCCACCATTTTACAGGATCATAGCAACAAGTTTTGGACATGAACAACAGCAGTAGGAAAACTTAAGCTTGAATGTATTGGTAATGTCCCTGGAACAAAATCCAAGTAGATAAAACCATGAGAGAGCATACTTTTTAACAATAATGATTACAGAATAAAGTTGAAAGACTTCAACTTCCTTGAGTCAAAACCACAAGGAAGAAAATATTTTCATGACACTTGAAATGCACCCAGAATGGGTGATCAATGTTTTCCAATCTTCCAGATGGCATATATTCATCATCTGGACCATCACACGATACGGTATTCTACAGAGCATATATGACAAGTATAACATATCCAACTTTTCTGGAAATACCGTCTCCCAGAGCTCTAGTACACTAGCTATTCCATCTCTTGCCTTCTTCATATTTGGGCATTTACTCAATTAAGCCAATATCATATGCAGAAGACCAATAAAGACCTTATGTATGGAATTTCAACTATTGAAAATTAAAGATTCTCAAGGGTAAGATCCTAACCATAACTGTGCCTCTGGCAGAATAGCTGGTAGCTAACATTCGATTCAATAAAGAAATCTAACAAAAACCTAAAATTTCTTGCCTCTCTTCTCAATCCATAGCACTATAGTTTTCTCTGCCACTATCAACATGTATTACAGCCTTCTAATGGACATTATAAATAGACACAGGTAGACTTCTGAAATTAATAATAACTGGGCAGCAAAATGGTAACATTCACTCATGTCTGCCATTCCCCTTCAAGAATCTCAAGAACAATTAAATATCATGCAAGTTTACAATGTTATCTGGGATTCATACGGAAAAGAGACTTAGGCCTTCATATCTAGAAATTAAAGGGGACTTAACCAATGCTATCAGATGGGATGACACTTGCAGGCAAGGTCCATGGGAGTTTGCTCACTATCTTAATGAAACCAGAGACATCATTTCAGCCTTTTCTTTTGAAAAGTGAGATCCCTAAAGATTTAAATTCAGTTGCTGATGGCCTTACTAGATAGGTGGCGGTAAGGGTATTTATGTACAGAGCAAGTCCTATGCTTTATGCTTCCCTGATTTTTGTTGATGGATGGGTCTAGTCTTTTGTTGTTGTTGTTGTTGTTGTTGTTGTTGTTGTTGTTGTTGTTGTTGTTGTTTTTGCACATCCTCTCCTCTCATGTACACACGGCATTTGGAATAATAATCAATATGTGGTTACTCAAAAAAAAAAAAAAGCAGATGTACAGTTGATACATGTATTCCACTCCTAGTGAGGCTGACTAAAGAACTAAGCTAGCAGCTTCCTCAAGTCTGCACCCTGGGAGAAGAACCAAAGTAATCAACTTTATCATTGCAAAACAATTCAAGAAGGGAATTGGAGATCTCTAATGACAATCTCTCAATAAACATCAAATTTTAGTGTTTCCTTTACATCCATTTTGAATTAAATCTAGGATAATCAATTTGAAACTTGAAAGTGGGTACAAACACACCATAAGTCTAGGCTTCACACAACAAAGGTTTTCACAACAACTTAACTGGTCAGTGGTTCTCATCCACTTTTCAATCTTCAGAACTTTGAAAAGCATTACCATAAGGGGCTTAGTGGACTTAAAATACGTTTACAATTTGAAAAGATGTGTTGGCAAATAATTCAGTGAGCATCACTACATTTAAACCCCAGTTTCCAACATGCATGAGCCAACAATAGATATGCAAATTTGATAATGAACATAATTGAAACTGTTTGTATAATACATCAAAACAGACATAACAGTCTAAAATATTATCCACAGCATAGCATATGCACCTATGAATATATGAAACAGAAGACCCATTTCTGAGAAAAAAAATGGCTTGGAGAAGTTGTGCATTGTATATCAAAATAATATATACTGACCTGATCAAGTACTGATCCAATATCTCTGCCTTTCTCAACTGTATCACGCCTTATCCTCCTCGCCAACCGTACATCAGCATCTGCACTGAAAATTTTTCATCATGAAGAACACACAAGTAACATTAAGTGATATAAAACTGAAATACAGTCCATTATGGTGAAAAAAGAATATTTCAATTATAACTTATGATTCTAATTTGGGTATGGCACTGATCAGAACAGAATGGTGAAATAGGATTTATGTAGCCAACCCATATAATTGGGACAAGGCTTAGATGATGATGATGATAATTGAATGTGAAACAAGCATATTTCACACAAACTAGAGTAAGATATATTTCTAGAATGCTAACACAGTTAAAGCATGAAAAGGAAACTTCAGAAAAAATTTGTGGAAACTTATTTGATATAACACCACTAGGTGTGGAACAAAGGGGAAGGATCATTTATTCAAGAACATATAGTTCAGATAAGGCTTGGATGATGATGAAGAATTGGCACTAAGACCAAAGACCAAAAAAGAAAGAAAGAAAGAAAGAAATAAGACCTTTATAAAGTAAAATAGAAGGTACACAATGAAAGGACAAGAAAGGAAATACAAAAGAAACTTGACAATAGAACATAAAAGAGAACCCAAAGCAAACAAAAGACATCATCTAGGAGAACACAAGGGGTAGTAATATATCAGTTTGATCAAGACCATATTCAAATAACATATTGTCACTATGTTGAGAATGAAGGTATTTCAAAAACAGGCTTCCAGATGCCCAAATTACTAGGAAAATCGTTTGCTATTTGTCTTTAAATATTTTAAAAATGCTTTTTTTTATTTCCTTTCGAACTGGTTAGTCTACTGCAGGGGTTAAGGCTTGCGAAACAACTGGGCTTCCACAACCTAGAGGTGGAAAGGGATTCCCAAGTAGTCATCTCATGGACCAGAAATAGCTCCCAGATTCCTTGGGTATTCAGGCTTAAATTCAGGGAGGTTGTAAGCCTAATAAGGGAACTAAATGCTCCATTTAAGTGGGTAAGAAGAATAGCAAATGGAATTGCAGATTCTCTGGTCAAACAAGGGGCTATGAGAAGGCAAATGTTTTGGGCAAATCTGTAATATTTGTCGATTTTGGGTGGAAATCACACCCCAGACCTTGTAATTCCTAATCTTTCATTAAATTCCTTTTCTGCTGATCAAAAAAAAATTAAAAATGCTTTCTAGAGACACTTTTCCCACAATGACACAAAAATGAGCAAAAACCCCTTAACTATCCCTGAAGTTCTTTGATTTCCCAAGGAACACAGATTAACAAAGGATCATCCATCATAATTTAGGTTTTGTTACATCTGAATCAGTATTTTAAAAGCAATAGGCATAATATAGTGATAGGTTCTATAGTCCTTGCCATCATCAGCCTTTTCCCCTTCCAATCCTGTATTCCTGCCAACCAATGACGTGAATCTACAAAATACTACAGTATAAAGTTACAAAAATATACAAAAAGAGAGAAGAAGAACCTGTATCAACAAATATCTTCATGTTCATTAAATCTCGGACACGAGGATCATGGAAAAGTAGTATCCCCTCCAAAATAATAACATCTGAAGGATTAACCTGTGAAATATTTCATAATTAACTACACTCTTTGATTCATAGAAAGACTAGATCAAAAATCCTTGAAATTTTATCTCAAAAACAGTACATTCCTTTTTCTGGTGATAAAGAGAAGGGTCATATACTAAAACACCCTAAAATTTTACAGATTTACTAAAATGGTAAAACCTACACTATAGTTTGTGTTTTACTAAAATACCCCCTGTATTTGCAACAGATTTACTTAATCAACCTTTCATTAGATGGAAGTGTAAATGACAATTTTGACCCTAATGTCTGTACAAACATATTTAATTAAAAGAAAGTATAAATGAAAATATCATTCTTACCCCTGGATTTTCTGTATGATACAGAAGACCATCAATGACAACACATCAAACACTGTGACAAAGGAAGACTGTAAATATACAACATGTTTGAAGTTTTACTTTCACCATATTCTTTTAAGAATATAAAGCTTTCCATGAAGATATTTTTTCAGAAACATTTAAAACTGTCCAAGGATCTCTAGAAAGGAGAAAAAAAAGAAAACTAAAATCTGAATATTGTGGAGATGTACAAGAACAGCAGTTTGTTGAACAGTTTGGGAAGAAAGAACCCAAAGAACTTTTGCTGAAAAAGAGAGAAGCAGAGAGGCAATCATAGAAGTGATCACTTCTAGGGTGGTTCATTGGGTAAAAACAGTGGAGATATTCAAGGACATTAACACAGAGACACTGCTGAATAACTGGAAGGAAGTGGCAGCATCAGCTCCAAGCAGAAGTGCTGCTCAACCACTATGGTCTCCACCTTGTGCAGGTTCCATTAAGCTAAGCTTTTGTGCAAGCAGTGAAGGTAACCCCAGTCCATCAGGATTGGTGGAGTTTTTAGGACGGAGACACTGCTGAATAACTGGAAAGGAAGTGACAGCATCAGCTCCAAGCAGAAGTGCTGCTCAACCACTAAGGTCTCCACCTTGTGCAGGTTTCATTAAGCTAAACTTTGATGCAAGCAGTGAAGGTAACCCTGGTCCATCAGGGACTGGTTTTGTTCTCGGGCCCATTTGGTGTTGGGGACTCAGCTGCATGCAGAAATTATGGCTTTGATAGAAGGTATGGAAAGGGCTAAGGAACTAAATGTTAAGGAGACTCTAAAGTGGTAATAGGTTGGTTAGGGAACGAAGGTGATGGATTGTGGACATACATTAATGAACAAAGACACTTCACTTGGCTAACTCAGGGTATGGAGGTGAGAGTGCAATGGGTAAGAAGATGCGCCAATTCATTTGCACATGCACTCACTAAACAAGGGGTGGGAAGAAATCAGTTACTTTGGGCTACCCTGTAATGTTGTATCTACTTGGGGGGGAGTTTACTGCCCCCCACCATTGTAATTGACTATTTCTTTTAATGAAAATTTACTGTTATTGATCAAAAAGAAAAGAAAACTAAGATCTACTTGTTTTAACCAAAAAAAAAATGATATAGACTGTGTAAGTCTAATTACAAGATACTGAAGCAATTTCCACTAGAAGATAATGGGACCATTATTCCTTAAGACATTCTATACTCCATGGGTAAGGAATGTATACCCTTCTTGGTAACACATTGTTCTTGTAACTCTTGAAATCATAATTAGGGATATCAACCGCCTGCCCGTGCTTCAACTTATCCATAGTACATAGTAGTTTCTCAGTGTCAAAGGCATCTAGCAATAAGAAAGAGAAACATTAAGAAAGGTAGCCCAAGCAAACTAACAACTACGAACATTAAACAACATGCATAATGTTATACAAGCTGAACATGGTAAATCCAAGTTGTATTAAGTATCAACAAGCAGCTATGAAATGCAAAACATATACATTATATACCATGTTTACAAGTCATGCCCTAGTTAAACTGCATTTTCCGCAACTTCAAAATAATATGGTTAATATCTAAGCAAAATTAAAACAAATTCTTAAATACAATATATTTTATTGAGATAGGTAGCAAAAGGAACTATGTCAAGATAATTGCTTTATGTGAAATCATCTTTTCATACATTGCAAGTTGGTAAGAACCCTGTGGGTGAAGCTAATGGGGCTCTTTGACATCCATATCTGTTTCCCAGAGACTTTGGAAGCACTGCTGTGGTGAAGGCAACTGAGGGGCTTATACTAAAAAAGACACATTGTTTGAGGGGTAGTACCTGCTGCAGTATTATGGACAATATAGGCAGAAAGTAACAGGAAGCTGTTTGAAAATAAACACAATACAGAAGATAACATTCGGAAAGTTTTATGGGGCAGATTGTATTCCGGGTTTGGAATCTCACATTCGTTCACGGCAAAAGTGGAACGCCCTTTCAATCTTCTCCCCGAAACACCAGATCACTACCAGGTGGTGGAGATCATCATGGACGATGAGTGGACGGAGTTTTGGATGGTTAGCGGACAGTGATCGGACGGTGTTTTGGATGGAATGGCATTTAGTTGGAGAAGGATGGGAGGAAAAAGGAGGGAGGTGGTTAACAGGCAGAATGGAGGAGTCAGGTTTACAAAAGGAGGGAACAAGCTTTTTGGGCGTTGTTCAGAAATCAAAGCACCGAGAGACATGGGACTAAGGGTAGAAAGTGGAGAGAGAAGTACCTACGTGGAGAAAGCAAAATTGTTGGAATGGATAACTGATGGAAATGTCAGGCTAAAAGTGGGATGTGAATGTTTCTATCTGGTTCCAGATGGTAAGGGAGAGGAGCAAAGGACGAGGTATTTGGAAGCCTGTCTGGTGGGGGAAGTAGAAACTAGACTCTCAATTTCCAAATTGCACAGGTGGGCGGTGACATACTAGAAAGTGGCTTTGGGGGTGAGGGTCCGAAGGTTGGACAGAGGTAGATATCTCTTCATCCTTCCTTCTGCAGGGGAGGCCAACAGGATTTTGGGGACTTGTACAAGAAACGTGGGGGGCTCCCTTTTACATCTTACCCCATGGCATAAAACAGAGGGCTGTTGGAGGAAGGGAGAGGGGATACCAAACTTTTTCTGGTTTCGCATTTACGGGATCCCATTACATCTATGGAGTGAAAGTTTGGTGAGGAGAATAGGAAACATGTGTGGTGGTTATCTGGAAACAGATAACACAGAGGAAGCGAGAGAGACAATTGAATGGATCAGAGTAAAGGAAAGATGGAGAGGCTTCCCACCTTCGGTGATGAATGTGGTTAACGATGACAAAGTAGTTGCAGTAGTCATCTGGCCAGAGTTTTACCCAGAAACAGTGGAACCAGCAACAGATTTTGAAGGCACAATAGCAGAAGAGAGTAGGATTTTTAAGTCTCTAGCAAGGGAGAGTATTACAGAAGAGGTAAGAAGAAAAATAAAAGGAAAGGAAGTTCTGGTGGATAGTGGAGGTCAGATACAAGACGAAGTGCAGGCACTGCCGGAATCTTCCATCAGAACCGGGGAAGACAAGGAAAACGAAGGAGCCTCGGGAGAACAAGAGAGACATGTGGGGATGCAAGTTTGGGACACCTAGGCAAATCTGGACGGGTGGAAGGAGAAGGGGGTCTGCACCATCCAAGGACTGACAAGTTGATTATGAGTTCTGACATAAGGGGACAGGGGGGGAGATTCAAATTTTAAACTTGCCAGAAGATGAAAGGTTAGAGAGGGTAGTGGAAAGGTGTTTAGAGAAGTTAGGTTTCTCAGTGGGGCAAGAGAAGAGAGGTAGAAGCAATGTCAAAAGAAATCGGCATCGTCAATCCCATAGTAGGGGGTTTTCATCCTTCGAGGGTGGTGACCTAGGTGAAAAGCTTCTTGAAAGGGAAACACTGAAGGGGGCAAACAGGAGTCAGGGAGTGGGCTCGTGTTGGAGCGATCAGTTTGTTGAGGATGTGGATACCCTGGGTCAAGGTGAGGCAGACCCGGGTTTGGGCTTGGCCCAAACCAAGTCTCAAGTCTTAAGTTGGGTCACCTAGTTGAGCCAGTTGCATCGGTGACTTTCTCGTGTCGAAGAGAGAGAGAGGTAACTGTTTTGCAAGGAAGCCTCACTAGCAACCAATGTAGGCAGAGTGACCCGAGATTTTAAGAGGATGCAGAAATGTGTGACCCGCCATTGTGTTCTTTTGGCAAAGCTATAGTGGTGAGAAAGAAGATTTGGCAGTTGCAAATCTTCCATAGGAGATAAGACCAAATGCAATTGAGACGCCAGATCAATGATGAGAGTCTAGGCAAGAGCAGTAGGCATTGTCCTTGACCATGTGTCCTCGATTAAGGGAATGGAGCCGGCAACTATTAATATGTTGAAGGAGATAGAAAAGAGAAAATTAGAGGAAAGAGGAAGGAAGGGCAAGAGAACCAACAGAGAACTTTTTAGATTAGCATGGGGTCTGAATGACAGGGCAAAACTCTAGGCAATAGCCAGTCTTGTTTTTTTTTTTTTTTTGGTTTTTTTCTTTCACTTACATCTATAGTAAAAAGGTAAAAGAGAAGAGAGAATATTTAGAGAAAAAAAGGAAAGAAAAAGAAGGAATAGAAAAGAGAAAGGAAAAGAAAATTAAGGAAGAAAAAAGAAAAAGAAAGAAAGAAAGGGTTCACAATGGAATTTTCAGAAGAGGAAGTTAGAGCTGCAATTGAAGAAATGGAAGGTGACAAAGCACCATGACCAGATGGATTCACAATGGAATTTTGTAGAAGAAGCTGGAGTTTCATAAAAGAGGATCTAATTAAGGTGTTACAGGAGTTTCATCAGAAAGAGGTGTTTGAAAGAAGCCTGAATTCTACTTATTTGGCTTTGATTCCCAACAAGAAAGGGGCGGTCGGTCTGAAAGATTTCAGACCAATAAGTCTTGTTAGCCATAGTTTTCAAGGCGCCAAGGTGAGGCTAGGTGACAGGGGGTGCCTTGTCGCCTTGTCACCTAGTCGCCTAGGTGATGGACTTTTTTTATGTAAAACCATATATCCTAGGGTAGTTCCCTAGGTTCCATAACCATCTTCCCTTAATAATTATCAATAATTTTCATAAGAGAAGTATAAATTTCATGTTTAAGTCTAGAAAATCAACATTTTATGAGAAGAAAAAGAACAAAGGAAAGAAAATTCAAAAAATATAGGGGCTGAACCCCTACTTTTGTTATAGGAAAAGAAGAAAAGAAAAGATGGAAGAAGAAAATATGTTGATTAGACAAAATTCCAAGTTCTTCCCTTGCTTATTGGTTCAGGTTTTGAAATATTTGAGGGTTCAATCAAGGATCAAAATTCGATACGATACGCCCCGTATCGGGTGTATTGTATTTGTATTGTATATTTGCTGTCCCGATACACCTGTTTACAGGTGTTTTCGGGGACCCATTTTTATATAATATAATATTATATAAATGAAATTGAAAACTAAAGAAATTAAAAAAAAAAAAATAGGGGGAGTATCATTATAAGTACCGATACATCTCTGCCAATACAAAGAGGTGTATCGATACTTTGAACCATCGGTTCAATACAGCAAGCAGATGTCAGAGTTCAAGGGGATTAAGGCAAAGGTGATCCCCTCTCTCCCTTGCTGTTTATTTGTGTTTTGGAAGCTCTAAGCTTGATGGGGAATAACACAGTGGAAGGAGGACTCCTAGAAGGCTTTAAGTGGGTCAAGAAGTGGAGGTAGCATTGCTGTTGTATGCAGACAATACTCTCTTCTTTGTCAATGTGTCAGAAGAACAAGTGGAAAGAATCAGAATGATACTAATATGGTTTGAAGTGATCTCTGGCCTTAAAGTCAATATGCACAAAAGTGAGTTAATGGCAGTGGGGGCCGATCTTAATTTGGAAGTGTTGGCAGATATTGTAGGCTGCAAGGTTGGAATTTTGCCATCAAAGTACTTTTTTTTATTTTTTTAGATCAGTAACAAAAAAAAAAAAAACTTTATTAATGATGTGAAGCTTTAATTACAAAAGGGGGAGGTAAAATGTCTTAACTCTCCACCAACAGAATACATTGGAAGAAAGTTAAAAATTAGCCCAAAACAGAGATTCCCTATTCACCCCTTGTTTGGCTAACCCATCTGCAAATGAGTTAGTAGTCCTCAAGTACTTTGCCATCAAAGTACTTGGGGATGCCGCTTGGAGAAAAATGCATTTCTAAGAAGATTTGGGAACCGGTGGTGGAAAGAATGGAAATCGAGGTATCTATTGAAGGGAGGAAAACTAGAATTACTAAAAGTGTTCTGTCTTCTATCCCCACTTATTTTTTGTCTCACTTCTCTATTCCAGCCAGTGTGGCCAAGTTGTTGAAGACAATGAGAGATTTTCTACGGCAGGGGTGGAGGGATGAGTTTAAATTTCATTTAGTCAGTTGGAGCAAAGCCTGAAAGTCAAGAAAGGCTGGAGGTTTGGGGTTAAGAAATTTGGCTTGTGTAGGGAAATGGTATTGGAGGTGGAATGAACAGAGCACAAACCAATGGAGAAGAGTTAGAGAGGCTAAGTATGGCTCAAGGAACTCAAGTTGGAATCCAGGGGAATCAAATCTACCTTACGAATGTGCAGTCTGGAGGGGCATTCAGAAATCAGCAAAGGACTTTAGACAAGGAATAAGAATGGAAGTAGGAGATATTGTCAGCTTTTGGAAGGAGGTCTGGTGCGGTGATAGCCCTCTTAAGAGCAGATTCCCAACCATCTTTGATATTGCTATCAACAAGGGTTGTATGGCGTCAGAAATGTTTTCACAGGGTTGAGGGGCAGGTGGGTGGTGTCCCAGTTTTAGAAGGAACCTAAATGATTGGGAAGTGGAGCAATGGGAGTAGATAATGCAGATCCTGTATGATGAAAGGGTGGGTAGTACAAGGGGGTACAGGAGGATTTGGACAAGGGAGAAATCAGGTATTTTCACAATCAAATCCTTTTACATCAGCCTATATAGTGAAGAGGAAGCTAATTTCCCTGAAGACATGGTATGGAGGACGGTGGCTCCTCTAAAAGTCACTTTTTGTTTGTGGGTGACAGCTTTAGGGAGGTGCCTAACAGCTGATAATCTGTCAAAGAGAGGATGAGTGGTAGAACCAAGCGCATATGTTTTATGCAGTAACAATTCTGAGAAGCTGGAGCATCTCTTTCTGCACAGCAGATTCAGTTGGGAAATTTGGATGAAAGTTCAAAAGGTTTTTGGAGTTCAGTTGTTCCTCCCAATTAATGTATCGGAACTGTTACAGGGCTGGGGTCTGAGGTGTTTGTCGAGGAGAGGTAAGATTTTATGGAAGGTGTGGCCAGCAATCATGGTTTCAAATGTCGCTAATGTCGCCCGACATATGTCGATGTCGAGGCTCACCGACMYGAAAATGGATGGTAGTATAAAAATTACATTATTTCGGTCGACATTTCCTATTATGTCGGAAATGTCAACCAAATCGGTCCAAATAACTAAAAAAAAGACAGTTTTTCCTATTATGTCGATAGGATGTCGACTAATATCGACTAATGTATATTAATAATATAATATATTAGTATTTTATATTAATATAATACAGTATATTAATATAAATTATTCAATTAATAATTTCTATTTAATATTTCAAATAAAAAAATTATAAAAAATAATTAACAAAATATAAAAAAAATAATAAATTAATTACTTTATAATATAAAACATAAAATATTTTTCAAGTAATAAAATATTAACTAGTTAGTATTTTTTAAAATATTTATTAAAATCAGAAAATGTTTATTAAATTTTAAAATAAAGCATATTCTACATTTAATATAAAAAATCAGAATAAATTTATTAAATTTTATACTAAATCATAATTTATTATAAATTTAGTATTAA